ACCCGCTCTATGTGATCCTTTTTATCTCAGCCATTCTGCTTCTGACCGGCAAATTTATGTTCGTTTCTCTCTCGATGCCATCTGTTCTATTATGTTTACTCCTCTGGCAGATGATATTCAATCTTTAAAGATAATGATCGTGTTGCTTGATTCATGTGTTGTGGTAGGTATGGAAGTAGTGAGTTGTAGGAGAGATGATGATGCAATGTCTAGATGGATTAAAGCACTTATCCACATTTCTGCTGACTTGCTGTGATGCTGACCATCAACCGCGCTCCAGGGTCCTTCAGAACCCCAAGGCTGTGGCTAGAGGCACTGTGTGTATGTCTACTTTTCCTGCACTTACTTAACTGCTTTTGATTCTCACTAGTCAATCACCACCCGCCTTTATCTACCAATTGCAGTTAGTGTGAATGACATTGAAGCTCTTTACGAGCTGTTCAAGAGCATCAGCAGAGACGGCCTTATCGACAAGGTTTACCAGCTGAATCCATTGCCACAGTCTTGTGCTTCTTCGTCCTCCATATACATACATTCACTAGTATCCTTTCCAATTTGCAGGAAGAGTTCCAATTGGTATTATTCAGGACAAACAGTAAGAGAAGTTTTTTTGCTGATAGGGTAAAAACACTTTGGCTCTTGAAAATCTAAAGCAGCCCATCTGGTGGTTTTCCTTGTTGCCAACTCATCATATTCAAGCTTTGCAGGTGTTTGACTTGTTTGATACCAAGCATACTGGGATTCTAGATTTTGAAACCTTTGCTCGTGCCCTCTCGGTCTTTCACCCCAAAGCTCAAATCGAGGATAAGATTGACTGTAAGTGGTAGCGATTTGGCCTATTCTTAATATCCAACCTTGTCACGCTCTTGGTATGATATTATTCTCTATCCGCAGTTTCTTTCAGGCTGTATGATCTGAAGCAGCAAGGGTATATAGAGCGACATGAGGTATAAAGCTGGCATTTTTTTTCGGTAGGGATGTCTGTAACTGTATCTTGGTTGATCTCATTTGTCTGTTGATGTGAAGGTGAAGGAAATGGTAGTGGCGACTCTAGCTGAAACTGGCATGAATCTTTCTGATGATGTGTTGGAGAGCATCATAGACAAGGTGGGGGTTGGTCTCCATTGACATTTGCCTAGACTTGTCATTGTAATTGTTTGACATGAGATATAATAAACACTGATTGGTGCAGACATTTGAAGAAGTTGATACTAAGCAGGATGGGAAGATTGATAAGGAAGAGTGGCAGAGTCTTGTGTTCCGCCATCCCTCTCTGATAAAGAACATGTCGCTTCAGCATCTCAAGTAAGCCATGTCTCTTTCTTCTGCATTCATCTTCTTCGGGCGGGGCTAACAAGTTTTTGTGCATGTGCAGAGACTTAACCAAGACGTTTACGAATTTTGTGTTCCAAACAATAGTGTCGGACACCTGAGCCGAAAGATGAGGGATGTGATTTTGGATTTTGACCAAAAGCTTTAGAAGATTCATACTTTCTCCATTAGTTTATAACCATGAAAGAGGAATTGAGGTTTTCAGTGATTTCTCCGTACATTTGAATGTGTTTTTTCCCCCTTAAATAAATAAGTGCAAGATAGCAAATGTCTTGAAAACATGGATCTAATTGTATGCGCAACCTTGTCCAGTTTTTTCTCATCTTTGTGTTGTAGTGTGCGTGCAAAGTTGATCCTTTTTCACTTGGCATAAGAGGTAGTTGTTACTCTAACCTTAACACCAATCTGTTAAAGCAATTTGCAAAATAACACAAACTTTTTGTGAGAGAAATTGACAAACTAACTAACGAATGCAAAGCCATTTTTGAACCGTATAACAAATCTGTTTTATTTCTCACACATACACAGGATTTATTTATACTCCAATGTTTGTATTAAATTAATGGAGGGGTTAGTTAGTGCCCCATAGAAAAGAAAATTAGAAAAATAATAATAATAAAGGAGTGTAGAGTTGGACTGTGGTTGGACTCGGG